ATACAACACCAGGCCAGGCACGGTGGCTCACTTCTGTAATCTCAGCACTTTGGGAGGCTGATGTGGGAGGATAGCTTGAGCCCAGGAGTTTGAGACCAGCCTGGCAATATAGTGAAACCCCATCTCCATATTAAAAAATAAAAATTAGCCAGATATGCTCGCTTGAACCCAGGAGGTGGAGGTTGCAGTGAGCCAAGATCATACCACTGCACTCCACCCTGGGCAACAGAGTGAGACTCTGTCAAAAGAAAAAAAAAAATTGTGAGCTGGGCGTGGTGACTGACACCTGTAATCCCAGCACTTTAGGAAGCCGAAGCGGACAGAGATCACTTGAGTCCAGGTGTTCAAGGCCAGCCTGGGCAATATGGCGAAACTGCATATCTACAAAAAATGTAAAAATTAGCTGAGTGTGGTGGCATGCCCCTGTGGTCCCAGCTACTTGGGAGGCTGAGGCAGGAGGATCACTTGAGCCCATGAGGCGGAGGTTGCAGTGAGCCAAGATTGCACCACTATACTCCAGCCTGACTGACAGAGACCCCCATCTCAAAAAAAAAAAAAAAAAAAAAAAAAGGTATCTAGCGGCTGGTCTGAAGATAGGCATCTCAATTGTTCACAGCCAGTTACAGATCGAACTCCTCTTTCCCCCTTCTCACTACTGCACTTGACTAGACTTTTTTCCCCCCACAAAGAATGGGGCTTCAGATACAACTGAAAAATAAAAGTGTCTGGTGGTAGGCAATCCCGAACTGGCATGGTGGCTCTGCAGTTAACAAGAACTTATGCTTCTTTTTGCTTCACCATCCTAGCATGCAGCTTCCATCCTAATGGTCATCTCATGGTCTAATATGGCTTCTAGAGCTTAATTCATCTCATCTGCATTTCACATAGCAGACAGAAGGAATGAAAGATGATTGGGGGAGGGAGAGGAGCACAGAAGGATGCTTCCTAGTTAACTCTTTAAAGGGCCTTCTTGGAAGTCCAAGACAATACTTCCAACACTTCGTTTATGTTCTCTTGGCCAGAACTTAGTCAGTTAGCCATATCCAGCTTTAAGGGAGACTTGGAGATGTAGTTTTGTGTTTTTTTTGTTTAACTTAAAAAATATTTTGATACGTAATTTGCAAACAGTGAAATGCACAGATCGTAAGTATACAGTTTGATAAGTTCTGACAAATGCATACACCCATGTAACCCACATCCCTCTGAAAATATAGAGCATTTCATCACCCCTAGAAATTCCCTCCTGCTGAGGGGCCTTTTTTTTTTTTTTTAAACAATACAAATGAGAGATAATGAAGGCTTCTTATCCTGAGGTGGGAGGGTTGTAGCTATGGGAATAGAAGGGAGGAGCTGGAGAGACTGTGGAAGGAGAATCCAGAGTAGACCCGTTGGATGTGGGAGATGAAAGAAGAATGAATGCTGGTAGCAGAGCCATTAACAGAAACAGCAGATAGGGAGGAAGTCCGGGTTGTTACAGATGGATTGGAAGAATGAGTGCAGTTAAGACTGTTGGCCGGGCGCATTGGCTCACGCCTGTAATCCCAGCACTTTGGGAGGCTGAGGCGGCCACATCATGAGGTCAGGAGTTTGAGAGCAGTCTGGCCAACATGGCAAAACCCCATGTACTAAAAATACAAAAATTAGCCGGGCGTGGTGGTGGGTGCCTATAATCCCAGCTACTTGGGAGGCTGAGAAAGGAGAATCGCTTGAACCCGGGAGGTGGAGGTTGCAGTGAGCCAAGATCATGCCATTGCATTCCAGCCTGGGCGACAGGAGTGAAACTCTGTCTCAAAACAACAACAACAACAAAAAACTGTTTTAAAAAGTGGGCTGGGCATGGTGGCTCACACCTGCAATCCCAGCACTTTGGAAGGCCGAGGCGGGTAGATCACCTGAGGTTGGGAATTTGAGACCAGCCTGACCGACGTGGAGAAACCCTGTCTTTACTAAAAATACAAAATTAGCCAGGCGTGGTGGCGCATACCTGTAATCCCAGCTGCTCGGGAGGCTGAGGCAGGAGAATTGCTTGAACCCGGGAGTTAGAGGTTGTGGTGAGCCGAGATCGCACCATTGCACTCCAGCCTGGGCAGCAAGAGCAAAACTTCTCCTCCTAAAAAAAAAAGTGAAGTCTGGCCAGGCGTGGTGGCTCACGCCTGTAATCCCAGCCCTTTGAGAGACCGAGGCAGGCGGATCACCAAGATCAGGAGTTTGAGACCAGCCTGGCCAACATGGTGAAACCCTTATCTACTAAAAATACAAAAATTAGCCAGGCATGGTGGCGGGGGCCTGTGATCCCAGCTACTTGGGAGGCTGAGGCAGGAGAATCGCTTGAACCTGGGAGGCGGTGGTTGCAGTGAGTGGAAATCGCTCCACTGCACTCCAGCCTGGGCCACAGAGCGAGACTCCGTCTCAAAAAAAAAAAAAAAAATGTGAAGTCGGCTGGGCACAGTGGCTCACACCTGTAATCTCAGCACTTTGGGAGGCCGAGGTGGGCGGATCACGAGGTCAGGAGATCGAGACCATCCTGGCTAACATGGTGAAACCCCCTCTCTATAAAAATACCAGATTAGCCGGGCGTGGTGGTGGGCGCCTATAGTCCCAGCTACTCGGGAGACTGAGGCAGGAGAATGGCATGAACCCAGGAGGCGGAGCTTGCAGTGAGCCGAGATCGTGCCACTGCCCTCCAGCCTCGGGGACAGAGCAAGACTCCGTCTCAAAAAAAAAAAAAAAAAAAAAGTGACGTCTTTACACAAACATAAAGGGGTTATGTGTGCTGTCCTTTGAGAAGTTTGTTGATGAAAGGAGAAAGGAAGTAGTAGCACCAGAGGAAAAGGTCAGGGGTTTACCCTGTTCTTACAGGAAAACAGCGCCTTGCTCTTTTCAGCTAGCTTTTCAAAGGATAGGGATAGGACAGCTCCCTGCCCTCTTTCGGATATTTGGATCTATAACCTCCAGAAATTCAGGCTGAAGTAGTTGGAGGTCGGAGAGGAATGAGACAACTGCCTGGGTGGGGTGGGCCAGCCAGACACTGCCAGGATAGCCACAAGGAGACATAACTTAGAGGAAAGAGCAGACAGCAACCACGTTGGACTCAGGCAGTCCTGGGTTTGAATCCTGTCTGTATCACCACCTAGCCTGATGACCTTGGGCACATCCTGAGCACCCTGTGCCTTATCTGTAAAATGGAAACAATTATGCTGACCTTTTAGGTTGGTTTTGAGGATTAGAGACTAGCTCCTGACACACAGTAGGTAATCGTAAATGGGTGCTATTATTTGGCCCAATCCACATTATAGGACAGAACGTCTAATGAACGGGTCAGAACCTGCGCCCTCCGGATCTTGGAGAGTACAGAGGGCGCCCCTCGGCCTCCTCCCTTTCGGAGGTGGGGACAAGGTGGAGGAAGGGCTGCAGGAGGAGGAGCTCTAGCATCGCGACCCGCCCCGTCCCGTCCAGTCTGGCCTGGGCGCTGCGGGAACGCTGTCCTAGCCGCCGCCACCCGAACAACCTGTCCTGGTGCCCCGGCTCCCTGCCCCGCGCCCAGTCATGGCCCTGCGCCCCTCACTCCTCCCTCTCCATCTGCTGCTGCTGCTGCTGCTGCTCAGTGCGGCGGTGTGCCAGGCTGAGGCTGGGTTCGAAACTGAAAGTCCCGTCCGGACCCTCCAAGTGGAGACCCTGGTGAGGAGATAGTCCCAAACCTCAGCACCCGTGGGCCGAGCCTTGTGGGGTAACACAGGGATCTCAACGAATCTGGGAGCCGGGAAGGAAGTGCGGGAACTGAGTTGGGGGTGGTGCTGAGTCTAAGAGCGAGAACGGGATCTTTGGAAGAGCATCCGTGACCCCTGTAGTCCGATCGTAGGTGGAGCCCCTCGAACCATGTGCCGAGCCAGCTGCTTTTGGAGACACGCTCCACATACACTACACGGTGAGGGGTCTCGGGGGCCGGGGCGGGGCCTGAGAGGGGGTGGCGCCCTGCTGAAACACGTCAGCTTTGGCTTGGACACGTGGCAAGCGGTTCGGGAGAAGAAACTCGGGGCTCTGGCGTTGTCGAGCACATGGCGAGGGGAGAGGCGTTGCTCTTCCGTGCCTCTTTTTCCTCCTTGCTTTTCTGCCAGTTCCTACCTGGCACGGAGAAGTGCAGGGTGGAGAGATCTCCGAGAAGCGCCAGCCCTCTGGGGCTTCCTGTTCCTTACAGCGGTAAGGGGAAGGCTAGGCTGCCGCTGTAAGGGGGCTGCCGCCGCCCAGCGGTCCAGGTGTGTGTTGCGCGCCTGCTGGGAGGGAGAGGGTGCTAGGTGTATGCTCTTGATGCTCTCTCCCCCCAGGGAAGCTTGGTAGATGGACGTATTATTGACACCTCCCTGACCAGAGACCCTCTGGTTATAGAACTTGGCCAAAAGCAGGTGATTCCAGGTATGTGACCTGTGCCTCCCATTCTACCTCTTCACAACCTAAGCCCTTTCTTAGCCTCTTCAGCTCCAAAGCTGCCCTGGAAATTCCCCCCTGAAATGAGTAAGACCCTAGGGCTCTACCAGTTACCTTCTGAGGTTCAAACCTCACTTCTAATACTCCACTTGTCCCAATTGGAAGCCAGAGATTTAAGAATTGGGGGCAAGGCCTGTTGAGGATGGAGGAGGAAGACTTTGATGTTCATGTCATGGGATTTGGGGAAGGTGGATAGCTTCCAGTTCAGTTGTGTCTTCTTCCTCAAGGTCTGGAGCAGAGTCTTCTAGACATGTGTGTGGGGTGAGTATCTGGGCAGGGGTGGGCCTGGGTACCCTCTTTGCATGGGAAGAGCTTTTCTCTGCCATCCTCGCTCCTTAAGAAGCAGGAGAATGTGGAATAAAGGACCCTGCTTCCCACTGGACAGGTCCAGGTCAGTGGGAACCCTGAGGGCATCCAAAGCCTCTGTGCTTCTTGCACTGTTGCTTTTGTTGGGGAGTTGAGGCACATGGGGAGATGGACACCTTTGCTGGCCAGCCTGTTTGGTGTTCAGGTGGAAAAGTTCGTGTTTTGGGTGTGAAGATCCAGAGGGTTTTGCTGGAGGAGCTTCAGCTGGACTGAGGCTGCTGGCCTACCTCTCCTGCCTCTGGCTGTGACTGACATTCCTTCCCTCAGAGAGAAGCGAAGGGCAATCATTCCTTCTCACTTGGCCTATGGAAAACGAGGATTTCCACCATCTGTCCCAGGTAATCTGACTAGGCCTGTCTCTCAGGCCATCGAAATACCCAGTCCCTAAGAGCTGTAAGGAGCTATATACTTTGTCTAATGCTTGAGAAGGTCCAGACCAAGTTTGTTTAGACAGACAGGAGTGGCTGGCGCCTCCATCTCCAGGGCCACTTTTTTCTTCCTCATATCACCAACAGGGACTAAAGACAAATAACCTGATGAGGCCACCTGGTGTGACCTCTAGCAGCCAGTAACTTGTTAGGGAAGAGAACTGCCTGTGCCACCACCTTTCCCAGAACACTGGGCTTCTTTCCTGCCCTTTTCTACAACTCTACGCTGTGTCAGCTGTACAGCCGCCCCCCCCCCCACCCCGCTTCCTTTCAGCCTCCATCAGGGAAGAGATAGTAAAAATAATCACAGTCAAGTAATTCAAAACAAAACAAAAAGCAACTGTTAAAGCCAAGTCTACCCCATAACTTTAAAGGCCATCATAGGTCACTGCCGATGTCTATTTTTGAAGGGTTGAGATGGACAGATTTCCCAAAATGCGTATCTTTTGCTTTCAGTTCTAACAAATGTTCTATTAGCTAAAATGTGTTGTACTCCACAGAGTGTTGGGCTCGTAATTCTTCTTCTTCTTCTTCTTTTTTTTTTTTTTTTTCCTTTGAGACGGAGTTTCATTCTTGTTGCCCAGGCTGGAGTGCAGTGGCGCAATCTTCACTCGCCACAACCTCTGCCTCCTAGGTTCAAGCGATTCTCCTGCCTCAGCCTCCCGAGTAGCTGGGATTATAGGCATGCACCACCACGCCCAGCTAATTTTGTATTTTTAGTAGAGATGGGGCTTCTCCATGTTGGTCAGACTGGTCTCAAACTCTCAACCTCAGGTGATCCGCCTGCCTTGGCTTCCCAAAGTGCTGGGATTACAGGCATGAGCCACCGTGCCTGGCTGGGCTCATAATTTTTATTCTAGTTCCAGCTTAGAGGAAGGCCTGGAAGGAGGGTAGGGCAACCAAGGAGAAACTCTTTTACCCAAAGCCCTATACCTCCCCATTCCCAGTGCTGCTTATTTGCGCCTCTTCCGCCCACTCATTTCTGTTCCACCTGCCCCTTTACTTCTTAAGCAGCATCCTCATCCTTCTTCCTCTTCAGTTCTTATGCTGAAACTCCTGTTATCTCATAATCACGTTGAATGTGCTCATTGGTTGGTTGATTTTTTAAAGTCTAGTTTAAATCCATTTAATTTCAGACCTGCAAAGACTCTATCCATGTGGTTATTTGGAAATACGATAAGTTAGTAGTTAGTATAGAGGGTTCTCCCACTTACAAATAGAGAAGAGTCTTACATTTCATATTCACAGAAAGTTTTCCTGCATTCAAAGACTTGTCACTGGACCCAAGCCACATGTGTAGTTGGGGTCAACATGACTATCACTGAACTCTGCTCATAATCCTCCTCTACTCTTGTCTAAAGGAATTCAACCCCACATTTAAATCTTGTCAGCTTCATAGTTGTTGGCTTTGCTGTGGCCTACCCTCCCTATTTTCATTCAGATTCTGAGCCCTGGATAAAATGCACTGAGAGTCTAACCCTCTCCACCCCTCTGCCTCTCTAGCGGATGCAGTGGTGCAGTATGACGTGGAGCTGATTGCACTAATCCGAGCCAACTACTGGCTAAAGCTGGTGAAGGGCATTTTGCCTCTGGTAGGGATGGCCATTGTGCCAGCCCTCCTGGGCCTCATTGGGTATCACCTATACAGAAAGGCCAACAGACCCAAAGTCTCCAAAAAGAAGCTCAAGGAAGAGAAACGAAACAAGAGCAAAAAGAAATAATAAATAATAAATTCTAAAAAACTTCTTTGCATTCTTCATCTGATACTTTCTGAGACTGCCTTTGAAAGTGGGAATGAGGTAAAGGGCTGAGGAAAAAAGCATTCTTAGTTGCATCTTGCCTGGCATGGGGGTGGTTGTAGGCCCTGGATCACCTCTTCCCCTGGCCTCTTCTTGCTGTCCTAACTGACTTTAAGGATCTGGTCTTAAGTCTTCCCATAGGATCTCTAAGTCCTTAAGGTATGGGTTTTGGCTCTCATGGCGCCCTGATTCTGAGGAGGGATGCTTAATTGAGCAGTGAGCCTCCTGGTAGTTGCCTAGCTGTTCTCTCTATTCCCTGGGACCACAGTGTTCCTAGTGTCCTCAAAGAGGACTGCTCTGTCCAATATGGAAAAGATACAAGGAGCTCATAAACTCCATGGAAATTTTTAATAGCAACATCCATACATCTCTCAAAAAAAAAAAATCTCTAGGAGTTGAAAGATTTTTTTCCTTAGATCACAGGTTGTGGAAGATCACGTGGGCTGCTTCAATTATATTTTAAGTGGTTGGATGTTGTTTATCACCTGGATGGGCTATAGGTATGGACAAGGGCTGGGGTAAATTGCTTTGATAGTTGACTATAAAGAGTGGGTTGAGCTGGCTCAGCACTTCGTCACTCACTGAGATGCCATCCAAGTACTGCTTCAGCATCTCCCGCAGCTTTCCATTGATATCTAGCAGCTGGGCTCGTCTGTGTTGGAGGCTCAGTTGCTCCAGTTTCACTTTGTTGTACCTTTTCCAGAAATTCTCCATTCCTGTGTAGTCCACCATCACCTGGGAGTGGAGTTGTAGGGAGAAGGTGTGCAGTGAGACCCACTAGCAAATGCTGCCCAATGCCCCACCATCCCCCAGCCTTTACCTTGGCGAGCTCCTCAGTAAGCTCTTCTGGATTATTCTCCTCAATCCCCTCCTGCTCCTTAGGAGTCAATACTGATGAATAAAAAGGCAGCACCTTTTCTTCCTCAGTTTCAAATTTCCTACATATTTCAGCAAGTTTAAGGATCTTTTCACCCTATTTGAAGCAGGAAGAGAGTTTATATTAGGAAAGGGAGTGGAGAGGGAAGCTAGTGGAGTTGGTTCCCCTGTTTGAACCCAGGGAAGCTACTCATCCAAGTGGGAAACAATAGCAATAAATACATATAGCAAATAGAGGTTACCATGTAACACACACTATTCCAAGTATTTTCTATTCTTATTGTAAAATTAATTCATAGCCTGGGAAACATAGGAAGATTCTATCTCTACAAAAAAATTTGCAAAAGCCAGGTGTGGTGGCACATGCCTACAGTCTCAGCGACTGGGGAGGCTGAGGTGGAAGAATCACTTGAGCCCAGGAGGTAGAGGCTGGAGTGAGACGAGATGGTGCCACCACACTCTGGCCTGGGCAACTGAGTGAGACCCTGTCTCAAAAAAAAAAAAAAAA